AACATGGCCGCTTGCTAGTGTACATGGCCCTCGGCTGCTTTCTTCCACACATGCATACATGTCTGTGTTTGTGTGTGTGTATGTGTGTCAGAGAGAGAGAGGAGAGAGAGAGGAGAGTGGGAAGAGGCTGTCATGCTTGTTTTCTAATCCTGCTCGGTTCAGCGTAATGTTTTATTCTAGCAATAATACAAGTATTAGTTATACAGTCATAGACCTTGGGGACATTATGCCGACATTATGACGGGCACGCACATGCATAAGCTGTCTCCTGCTCTCTCTCTCTCTTTCTCTCTTGCAAAACACTACACACACTGATGCACACACACATAGCAAACACAGCAGTGGTCATTTCCACACCAGCCACAGAGTGGAGAGATGATGCAACGGACAGTACAGTAGTGAAGTAATACTGAGAAAAATCTTTAGTTGGATTTGATTTCTGCACAGCTTTTCTTAGCTCAACTGAAGAATGAGGATAGTGTGGTCCTGATGCGTCAGTGGAAATTGCGCCTTGTAATGATGAGGGGGAAGTGTAGAAAAAATAACATACTGTATCTGATATCTCAAGTTTGGGTGTGATGAATACATTAGAGCAATGCCGGCGATGCTGCCGACCTCACCACCCTATACGTGTCAGTGGCAATTAGGCTGATTCGTGGCTGCGCTCAACATGACCATAGCGTGGTGTGTTTATGCCCTCAACTACAATACACTATCACGGCTCCGTTTGCTCTTGCCGCCTTTCCTGTGTAGCCCTCCAGTCAGCAGTGTCTACTGTGTGTTGTCGGTTTTGTGTAATTTTTTCTGTGTGTGTGTTCAGTTCTCTCTGCTCCTGAGGTGTAGACTGATGTATGAGTGTTGGCACAGCAGGACAGCCTTTTTCGCCCAAATCCAACCGCTCTTTTATTTCCTTTTGCCTAACAAACATTTGTCATCTTCACCTACCAGGTGCGTGTGTGTGTCTGTGTGTGCGTATTTGTGTTTTGCTGTGTCTTCTGTAGGTTTCCTGACTCCATGGGACTGGTCTGACCCAGAACTGTCAGATCTATGTCTCTCCTCCACATATACACACACAAACAAAGTGTGTGAGTGATTCAAAATTCAGTGTTCTTCAATGTCGTCATTGTTAAAAATGTATAGACCTACATCACCTTGGCATCAGTGTTCAAATTTATGTTTGCCTCAGCAGCATCATAAAAATGGAACGATGTTGCCATTTTACCACACAGACGCACATCCAGAGACTAGGATGGATATGTTCATTAGCTGCAGAGAATAGAGTTTGAGATTAACATGTCAGCCCACAACAGTGCAAAATGCCTTTAATACAGCCCTCAGAGATGGGTTTGCCCATACACAAATTAGGTTTTAAACACACACAGACCCACGCATGCATGCTTGCACGCATGCACACACATAATGCCGGTTCCTCTTCAGTGGGAGAAAAACTGTTCTGACACTGTCAAATGTAATGTGTTGTGAAGCGAGCGCGTGCACATATGTGTGTTTAACGCAGAGAGAGAGAGCAGACAGTGGGTGAACACTGTGTCAAATAAAGCAGGTCACTGTTCTTCTTCCATCAGTATATTCTTTGTAATATATATCTCCATATTATATTATTAAGTGTTGTACAATGACTTGGAAAGGTACCATTGTTAAAGAGTTACTCTGGCAAGAAACAGATTTTAAAAAATAGTTTTGAAAAAATAGTTAAAAAGTTGGGGAAATAAGCTTATGTGCTTTAGACTGCCACCCTATTTTACCACTCTGTATGGAGTTGGAACCAGGAGGCAGTTAGCTTAGCTTAACATGAAGAGTGGAGGCAAAGGGGAAACTAGCCTAACTCTATGTTTGTTGCGTTTTAACGTATGCAAATAATAATATGAGTTATGTGAATGTAGTGATTAGTATTTGTATTATTACTAACTATGTTTGATGAACAACAATTTAGTCTCCAATGATTGTTTGGAGTGAAAAAAACTTCCTTTAAAACCATAATTCTCATTTTTACGTGTCTGTCAGGACAGATTACACAAATGAGCTACAATGTGTTATACATGTTGATTTTAAGAACTGCCGGTGTATCGTTTAACAGTGGACAGGGCCAGGTTTCCCTCTGCTTCTTTATGCTAAGCTAGGCGAACTGCTTCCCAGCGCTAGGTCCATACTACACACAGACATGAGGTTGGTTTCAGTCATCTTCAGAAAAAAATAATGAGCCTTTCCCAACATGTTGAACTGTTCTTAAGGGGGGAACCCCACCAGTTTTACTTGTTAAGATGACTTTTCCCATAAGAGTACTCACTTTGTTGTATGATGTATTTTGTGGCTCTGAGGAGACCTTTCCAAAGTCTGAACCCAAGTTATGTCATCAGGGTTATCTCATTATCTCCTCATCTCATCTCTTTCAGGGAAAGCCTGCGTTGCAAACTAACTAAAACTAAAGATGTGGGGTGTTCTAAGACGTGAATGTTCACCACGCAGGAAGGATTTCACTGTTAAGTTGCTTAATGGGCATTGTGCAATTGAGCATCTTTGAAACTTGATCTATACCAGGGCCTAAAATCAAGATCAGCATCTGCTACTTCCATATAGAGGTTGAATAGTGTTTGTGTTTATGTATTTTCTGCTGTATGGACTAGTGACAGGATGACACAAAGCAGGTAGTTCACCAGCAGCTTCCGTTACTCCGGTCAGAGACCTCCACTCAAAACACCAAATTATTTGATATTTAATTTTCTCTGTGAGACAACAGCCTATAATCCCCCGTTTTTCAAAGGGGTGTATTCCTTTATGATGAGATGTGAGTTTCAAGGTGTGTTTGATGGTGGGTGAATGTGTGTTGTAATGTTTGGACACCTGTTCCAGTCAGACACAACACTGGCTATTTTTGCCAGCATACAAATAAACAGAGTGAAAGACACACACACACACACACACACACACACACACACACACACAGGTATACGGCTAAGGATGTGAATAGGCATCAATGG